ATTAATAAGATAAAATTATTAACAAAAAAAAATAAATTTTATTAAAAAAATTAAATTTAATATTTATTAATTTGTTATTATATAAAATAGTAAATAATATATAAAATTAAGATTGATATAACTAAATCAATTACTCCACCAAGTTTATTTGAAATTGCAAATAAAATTAAATAAGCAAAAAAAAAGTATCACTCAGGTTTAATGCGACTAGAAATATTTACTGGAAATTTTAAAGTTATCTGGATCACCAAATGATATGGATATTGAAAATTAATAAATATAAAAATAAATGAAATTACATAAAATCAATATGTATAATGAATAATATAAAATTAAATAATATAAAATAAGAGGAAATAAAATTTTAATTATTAAAATTTAATCCAATTGGATTTGAAAATCCTGTTAAGTGTAATGCAAATAAATAAAGAATTACTATAAATAACATAATTACTAATGATAAAATAAAATGAAGTGAAAAAAATCAATTCAGTGTTGCATTATTAATTAAAAATCTATCTCAAATTCATAAAACAATTATATCTCCAATTGTATCTCCATATATGGAATTGCTGATAAATTAATGATAACTACTACATCTCAATATGATATTTGATCTCATCATATTATTCATATGAATTAATTATATTGATTATATTGATTATATTGATTTTTGATTTAATTTTTTTTTCTTTAATTGATAAAAAAATGAATTATTTATTTATAAATTTAATATTACTAATTTCATTATTATTAATTTTTATGTCAATAAATTTATTACTTTTTACTTATTTTATGAATTAGGATTATTATTAGAATTATTTTTAGAATTAGGATTATTTTTTATATAATCATAAAATGAAGTTAATGGATGATTAGAATGAAGAAAATAGATGATTATTAGATGATATTTAATATTTTATAATAATTTTTATTTTATATTATATATTTTATATTACATTTATAGAATTAAGTATAGATTAATATTTATTTTAATAAAAATAATAAGTTTAAATTTATATTTAATACTATTTATTTATTTATTAATATCATTTTCAATAAAAATTTCTTTATATACTTCATAAATGATTATTAAAAGCTGTTGAGATATCTTATTATGGATTAATAATTTTGGCATCAATTATATTAAAATTAGGAAGATATTTGGATTATTATAATTAATAACAATTTATTAAATATTATTTAAATATATTAATAATTGTTTAATTATTATTAATACATTTGTTGTTTTAATTTTAAGATTAATATGTTTATGTTAATATGATATAAAATTAATTACTGCTATTTTGTTCATATCTGTCGTTCATATAAGATTAATAATTATAACTATAAGAATAATAACTTTTTTAACGATAAGATTATTAGGAAATTATTTAATAATAATTTCTTATGGATTAAGATCATCAGGATTATTTTTTTTAATACATATAATTAATAGACAAAAAATAAAAATTTAATTAATATTTATTAATTACAATTAATATTATATCTTCAATTTTTTTGATATGATTTATATTGTATGCATCAAATATAGGATCTCCAGTAAATTCAATAAAGTAAAAAAAATGAAGTTATATTAATAATTGGTTTATTATCTTGATATAAATATTTAATAATTATTTTAATTTTATATTGTTTATTTAGATTTATTTATTTATATTTATTAATC